AAGCTTCAATGAATCAGAAAGTGTGAGATGGAGTATGATGTTTATGTTCAACATACTTCTGGAAGCAATATAATTCTGGTGTGTCTTTATATTGATGAAATATTTCTATCAGGGAGTTGTTCTTATGAGATAGTCAAGTTCAAGAAGGTGCTTATGAATGATTTTGAGATGACTGGTATGGGAAATATGGTATATTTTCTATGGATGTAGATTATGTACTCTAAGAAGGATATAATTTTGCATCAGTTGAAGTATGAACTTTAGCTTCTGAAGAGATTTGAGTTTACAAATTGCAAGGCTGCAATCACACCTGTTGAGATGAATCACAAGCTGGATTCTAATGTTGAGGGTGATGATATGTATTCTACTACTTTTAAACAATTGGTTGGCTCATTGATATATTTGTGTAACACCAGACTTGACATTTGCTATGTAGTTAGAATGGTGAATATGTTTATGAACAACTCAAAATGGTCACATTACCAAGCTACTGTCAGGATACTGAGGTACATAAAAGGGACTCTGGGGTACAGAGTATTTTCCATTCTGGTTTTAAATCTGACTTAGAGGTGATATGCTATTCAGACTCTGATTTGGTGTGGAGACAGAGTTGACAAAAGAAATACTTCTGGATATTTTTTTAAGTATCTGGGAAGTCCTATTTCTTGGTGCTCCAAGAAGCAACTTGTGATTGCCTTGTCAACTTGTGAAGCTGAATATATTGCATGTGATTTGTTTGCGTGTCAAGTTATTTAACTAATGAATTTGTTGCAGGATATGAAGATCAAGGTAAGCAATCATGTGAAGTTGATGATTGACAACAAATTTGCCATAATTCTTGCCAAGAACATGATGCTGAATGGGAGAAGCAAGCACATTGACACTAAGTTATATTTTTTGAGGAATCAAGTCCATAATGGAGTTCTAAAAGTTGTATATTGTAGCACTCTGAAGCAACTTATAGATGTTCTGACGAAAGCTGTCAAGACTAAACACTTTATCCATTCGAGGGATAGAATTGGTGTTGTAGTTTTTGGTTAGCTGGACATGAATTAAAAGGTGGTGTTAGAATTAATTCATGTCCATAAGTTGTTGTTTCAGAAGTAGTGTTCTGATTCAGAAGCAGAAGCTTCCGAGGTTGTTGTTTCAGAAGTTATACTTAGCTTATGGGTTTAGTTTAGTTTTGTTTAGCTTGATTTAGCTTTGCCTACGTGGCATATTTTATTGGTGTATTTAGATTCCTTGGTGTAACTGATTTTTTTAGTAGAACGTAAATATACAAGTTTTTCACAAAAGAGTTTCTCTCCCCGAAAAGTTTGTTATAACTATTTTTCTCTCTCTTCTTCCATCTTCATCTTCATTTTCAGCCTTGCACTACAACAAATAACACATTTTATGACAAAGCTTTCACGTCATCCAGAAAAATAACGAGGTATTAAGTTTAGGTGCGCCCATGTTTTATATTTCTTTAATTATAAAAATAATAATTTACCTCGGTTTCTAATATATATGAAGGGTAAAACAAATATCGACGTGCTTCGAGTCTAAACTTTTGCAGTTTATGTTTTATTTTTATCATAATTGTAAACTAAAACAATTAACCCTTTAGTTTTTCGATATAACCGAGGAATCAACTAAACAGATTTCACTATAAAAGCAAAAAGATTTCGCCCTAATCCTTACTTATTTGTAGCCGCCTCAAACTCACAAGCATCATTATTTGGGATAAATTGCAAGACAGAAAAATCTCCAATGTTCTTATAGAACAAAACGTTTCTTCTGCTCTTGCAATCTATCTCACATGGTGGTGTTGATGTTGTTATTGTTGTTGTATTTTTGCTCATTAGATAGATTGTAAGTGTAGAAAAATCATTTTTGATTCAAGGGGACAATGAAGGGAGCTCCCTTCTCTTTTTAAAATTTACACAATGAAGGGAGTTTAACTAATCAGATGATAGATATCAGCAAAGATATTCATTCAAAAGAGCAAAGATTTCTTTTAAACCATTTATTTTAATATTTTTTTGTAAACAATGTAAATTCCAAAAAAAAAACCTTTTCACCTCGGTTTAAAAAAAACGAGGTGATATCTATAATCAAAGGATTTAATACCTTGATTTTATGCTAACGCCGAGGGGTAAAGTTATCAGATTTTACTATAAATACCTTTGTTAAACATATTTTGCCCAAATTATAGCTATAATCACTTCCATTGTCATGAAAACTTTTGATCTAGAATCACTTAAGAACAAATATTTGAGATGGATTGCAAGTGTACAAAATAAAATAAATTATCTGAAGTTGGATAAGTTATATAGTGCTTTTTGGATATGCAACATAAAAGTATGCAACAAAATTTGGATTCCACAAAAGATCTACTGTTGAAAACACTTTCTCCTTTGAATTTGTCTACTTGCCGATAGATTTCAGGTACGCTACCAAATTCCTTCTCTAGCATATTCAGTATTCATACCCTTCTCTAAAAATAATGATGATCGATGATTGTGTGTTGTTTACTATTAATTTGCAGAACTGGGCTGAATAAATGATATTCTTTTGTTAATTTCACTAAGCCTAAATCAGAAGTGAGAATTCGTTGTAATATTCTTTGTAAACAATATAGTTTTTAAAAAATAAAATAAAAATATCTTGCACCTCGGTGTTCCTAAAAATCGAGGGTACATTTTAGCGTTAAAATTGATGATATTTGTCACCGTCCTTAATCAAATTCTTGTCGTCCATTTCATGACTATTAACGCTCAAAACACTACCATTAGTGTTTCGCATGAAACCTAGGTTAACTTTCATTATAAAAGCATTATGAATATCAACAATTGATAATGAAACATCATGAAACGCTTGAAACTATCCTCCAATTTAAGATATGCAAAAGTCTTTATCATGAAGAGTTCTCTATGATAGATTGCAAGAGCAGAAAATTATTTGAGTTTAAGGTTTGTGTACTTACATATTCATTTGAGAATAAAATTATTTATTTATCTAACCCTTTTTTTATCTAACCTTTTTTTTGTTGATATTAGAGACAAATGCAAGGAAAAACAATGAAAATATATTGTTTCCCAACATACGATCTTCCCAGGATATCACGGATTTGAAGATCCAACATATGATCTTCATGGACAATTTAATTTTTATTTTGATATTTTGTGTAAACAATATAACCAGTTTAATATTCTTGGGTAAATATTATATTTTGTAAACAAATTATTTTATTAATTTTCTGTGTAATCAACGTAACCAGTTTAAATTAAAAATATAAAAATAATTTATCCCTTGATTTTATTGATAACACGAGATACATGAGGCGCTATTATTATAAATAATAAAAATGCAGTTGGGGGGTTCGAACCCATACACAATTACAATACCCTTTGGTGTTTTAAACACCGATGTGCTAAGTCCATACTTTTTATGACGATCTTATTTACGTCGCTACTGTAACCGAAATAAAACGTATTTCACGTTCGACGTTACAAGGACTTTTTGTAGTAATGTTGTGCTCCAACGTACACTAATGTGTGCATAGAGTTAAACAAATTAGAAGTACTAAAAATTGCAACCGGATTAAAGTGGCCTTTACATTATACTTATCCAGTAAAAACTACACTGAACCAACTTAGCTTCCCGTGACAGATTTCTAAACTAGAGTATACAATACCAAGAGTACGACATTATATTCTTTCTATATTTAAAAGTAAACAAAATAAAGTTTTCAATTCAAACAATCAGTTTTTCATTTTTTTCCTAAAAAAACAAAATCAAACACTTATAGGGAACAAAGTCTTTCAAAACTCAAGACCGGTCTTAGTAGTTTCAGCATTCCTAGTACGCAAGAGACCGACATCATAAGAGAGTCAAAAGCAAGTGAAAGAGTTGAAGTAAGCCAAGGTGTCCCACCACCCCTTCAACCCCTGATATATCAGCTTCATAAGCTCCACACTTCATCAAATCACTTTTACCAAAACTCTTCTCTAACTCAAAAGTCTTCACTGATAAAAAATTTTCAACTTCAAAAAATGCAAGATGAAGAGGCTTCTTCAATGAGAAATAAATCTTTATGATTTTTCTGTTACCATACAAGGTAAAAACGATTGTGATTAAACTAGGATTGCATGTTGTTTCTCTAAAACAACATAAAAACCACGGCGAAAATATTACAAAAGGCGTTAAATAAGAAAACTTTAGAAGTACATGACTGAATAATCAAAGAGAAGAGAGAAGAAGATGGCGACTAAAATTTAAAAAAAAGAAGAAAAAATGTATATGTTTCAAGATCTTAAGATAATGGTCAAGTGGAAAAAAAAGTAATGGTATAAAAATATATTTCAAATAATAAAAAAAATATGTCAAAAAAAATATTAAATTAGATTGTCACATCCGTAAAATTTAATGATTTTTGACAAAATTTAACTGAAATGATGAAATCAACTAATAGAAACATTTAAAAAAAATTAAAGTATAACGTTTTAAAGTTAAAAGACGGAAATGAAATACTAAATTAAATTAAGAGATTAAAACATATACTAACCCTAGAACAATAGAATAGAACATTTGACCTAAAGAGAGGGAAAAAAAAAAGAAAGAAGAAGGATGGTAGAGAGTTATCCACGTCGGATTGCAAAAGCAAAAGAGAAAAAGGAAACAGTACAGTACCACGAGTCAATCAAAGAAGCAGTAGTAACATTAAAGAACTAACGGCGTTAATATAACCGCGAATCAGTAACGGAGAAACAAACGGTGTTTGTTAGTACTACCCGGTACGAGAAACAGCATCATAAGTCATAACAAAAGCAACGAGGATGAACGAGAAACACCTGAGTACTGAGTAAGTGAGTCAACACTAGTCAAACTCAAACACACTCACAGCAAACAAACCGTGCGATTCCGCAAACACTTAACTCGTTTCGTTTTTTCTAACAAACCATAAAAAGAATCTTCTAGAAGCTCTTCTTTGTTTCTCCGTCTGCGTTTTTTTTTCCATGGCTGAGCACCGCGTATCCGAACCTCTCCCAGTGGGACCCACTCAGCTTGGAAACAAATCTGAAACTAACGATGGACAAAACCAACACGAAAAAGAACGAGTCGGTGATTCACCGTGTGTCACCGAGTCGAAACAAGGCGATTCAGCGAGTTCCATTGAACAATCGGTAAAGCGCAACTCAGAAACCCTAGTTGTTCTTCCATCTTCGATTTCGCAGAAGCAGAGTTTCGGTACGCCTCAATTTTAACGTCTCTCTCTCTGTGTGATTTTTTTTTTCAATTTTTCATCCAAATTAAGAATAATGAATTGCTTTATTGATGTCACAGACACGGATTTGCAGGGGAACCCTAATTCGCGGAATTCGGGTGATAAAGCTGAAAATAAGGTTAGAGATCATTTATATTAGGAACTTTTTTTATTGAAAGTTACTTAAATCTCGTTTTTGTGCGATCCTTGAAGAAATTGAATTTTTTTTTTTTACTTTGCTTGATCGTTTTGTGAGAGTTGGTGGTTTAGGTTTAGGTTTAGGACATGTTTAGATCTGGGGAATTTCTTCATGAAAATTTTGATTAGGGTTTTTGAGTGTATTGTAATTCTTATGTGTGAAATGTTTACTGGATCTAGGGTTTATCACTTATGATAGTTAATTTAGGAGAAGACTTCGTGGGACAACTCTGGTTTCTGTTCCATCGTGAACTTGTACGACTGGGTAGTTATTACGCTGGTCTAGTGATCTCATAAAAAGGAGGAATGAAATTAAAGCTCCTGTTTACTATATGAAAACATTGTTATCTGATTCTAATGATAGAATAGTTCAAAATTTGAGACTTCGGATGACCCAGAATCTCATCTAAATTGAGTTACTTGCTGCGTCTAATGATTGAATATTTCTGAAATTGAGTCTTCGAGTTTTATGTAACTCCTATGATGTTTGTGAAGTTTCTTAGGATTCTTTTTTTTCCAATAGTTTATGATAGAGTTTGAGAAGATAGAGAGAATTGGAATAGATTGAGAATCTCTCAATTGTATTGAATGAATCAAGAGATACAGGGAGCTCTATCTTAACTACTCTATTAGTTTACACTGCCCAATTGTGATTCCGACACTATTATCAGATAGTGCATTTATTGGTACAAAATCTACAGCCGAATTTGATATGGATATACATTTGTTGAGATTTCATCTAGTAAATTAGGCTTCGTAGTAATATTTTTGATTGCTTTTCTTGAATGGACAATTCTTAAGACAAAGCAATATTTTTGCATTCAAATTAAGCATCAGAAAGTTGCATGTTATGTACATCCCAAGGTGTTTTATTTCTTTAGTATTAAAGTAAGCCATTTAATGCTCAGGAAACAGGTGGATCTCCTGAAAAGGAAATTACTGCAAGTGAAGCAGCCCTGACACCTCCAACTCCGACTGAAAATCAGCTTCCAATGATTGTGTATTCAACACCACTGCCTGAGCTATCACCAAATTCTTCTACAAAATCTTTATCACATGTTCCCATTTCGAATTTACAAATACATAAAATGTCTCCTCCAAGCATTGGTTACACACCTCTACTCGTAGTAAGCAAAAAAAATCCTTCTGGCGGTAAAGCCTTATCTTCAGTTTCTGTTCCAAGGACATCATCATCCGATGGATACAACTGGCGGAAATATGGTCAGAAGCAAGTCAAGAGTCCTACTACAGGTTCTCGAAGCTATTACAGGTGTACTCAATCAAACTGTGGTGCTAAGAAGATTGAATGCTGGGATCATTCAGGTCATGTGATAGAGACTGTTTATAAAAGTGAGCACAGTCATGATCCCCCGCGGAAGCCTAATTTCCTTAGGGAAAGTAAGTTTGCATCTCCCAAAGAACCTACTGCAATGAACAGTGTTTTAGTGAAGCCTGCCAATGTCCTGAAAGATTCTGATCCGTCCACATCTTCCAAAGCTCAAGAAGAAGCACTTTGCAGTGCTGAGAAGAAACCTCAAAACTCGTCTAATATCAATGGAGATGGTAAAGTTATTTTGAAGGAGGAACATCTAGGCGAGCCAGAGCCAAAACGAAGGCAAGTCCGTGTATGAAATCATATTATTTATTGATAAAGCTTAGACAATAAGCCCATTTACTCTAGTTGTGACAGGATATAGTGATTTATTTATGTTCTCTTATTTAATTTGATAACCAGAAAGGAGAAAGGCGACTTAATTCACTCAGATTCTCCTGTAAAACCTGGAAAGAAACCCAAGTTTGTTGTACATGCAGCAGGAGCTGTGGGGATATCAGGTGATGGCTACCGATGGCGCAAGTATGGGCAGAAAATGGTGAAGGGCAACCCACATCCCAGGTAAAATGCCTTTATCCACAAGCCAAGGATGCTTTATATTTTTATGGTAAATTCTTTGGTACCCTTGAGTTTTAGTTGGATACCGGTACCCTTAGGCTAAATCTATTTAAAACAATAATTTATTTTAAAATGAATTATTATAAAAAGTGACATGACATTGGATAATGAGGACACATCCAACCAAACTAGGGGTACCGAAGTGTTAAACTTTTTAAATTTGTTTTTTATATGAATTTCATTGTTGCATTGATAAATCTGCATATTAGTTGAAGATTGTGAAAGTTGAGTTGTATTTATTTGATTTTTAGGTTTAAACGGTGTTTAATGTTTTTTGAAATAAACAACAAATATTAAAAAAGAGAAGCCCAATAAAAAAAGTTGGCTTATTTTTTTTGAAGGCACTTGTATTCTGTATATGTTTGTATTGGCTTATTGTATGCTTAGATGTTGCTAAGACAGCTTTTTTAAAGTTAAACAAAAATATGGACCGAGTGTAAAATTAATAAATGAAAGGTTTGGATAAATTTACTATAACATGTAGGTTAGGTATGTTGGTAAATATTGTGTTAAACTGATACTAGTGAGTGGCAGAGCCTGAATAATTTCTTGGGGGAGCCATGGCTTCCACCCTTTCCCCCAAAAGATCTGTCACTAACCGAAACATGTTTGTTTCCATCTCTTGTTCTGCGAAATGTTTCCATCCATCATGGTAGCATCATGTATCCATGAAAACAAAACTGGATCTTCAAGATGTATCCAAGCAAAAATTATTTGCTTAACTGATTTTTCTGTCTTTATGAAGGATATTTAAACCCGTTTTTTTTCTTTTTAGGGGCTGTTGAGTTTTCTTTTTAGTTTTCTTTAATTTCCGTTTAAATTGAAATATCTTCCTTTTCTTCCTATCTACTTCTTTATTTCAGAAACTACTACAGATGCACTTCTGCCGGATGTCCTGTCCGGAAGCACATCGAGACAGCCGTAGACAACTCAGATGCAGTCATCATAACTTACAAGGGTGTACATGATCACGATACTCCTGTGCCGAAGAAACGACATGGCCCACCAAGGGCTCCTCTCGTGGCTGCTGCAGCACCTGCCTCCATGAATAATTTGCAGTTGATTAAACCAGGCTCGCCACTGCAAAACCTTAAAACTTCTACTCAATGGTCAGTGGACACAAAAGGAGAACTAACTGGGGAAGCCATAGCCATGGACCTTGGGGGTGAGAAAGCAATAGAGTCAGCTCAAACTCTTCTGAGCATAGGTTTTGAAATTAAGCCTTGCTAAATTCATCATTCAGAAACCATGCAGTTGTAGCGGTCTCTTGTAATTTCACAGCTTCTGTGTTTATTCTTTATATTTGTTCCTTTGTTTTCTTCTCATGTAGGCTTTAGCAGAAGAACAATTTGTGTGTGTTTGTTTGTAAGTCCGTTCAGTTTGTCTGAAACAGTTTGCTAGTAGTGGAGCAAGTAATAAAGAATTGATTGGCATAATTTATGTTCATAGTAATGGAGGACAAGTATCATGGTAATGGAGGACAAGTATAGTATGTCTGCTTCCATTACCACTCAAATGATTCGGGAGATAAAGATGAGAGAATGCTTAAGCATGTATTGAACCAGAAGGTTAAGATTTTGGTTATGGTCTACATGACTAGGAATATAAACGTTATTACTTGGCGCCATCTCTTCAAATGAAATTCTACTCATCACTAGTAGGTATGTGACAAGTTTTGTATTCATTCTTACTCATCCAATCCCCTTTTACCACCTCACCCGACTGCTGGTAACATAATGAACTCTTTTCATTACTTATTTCAACAAGTCTCACACTATGTTTGGATATTGTAAAAGGAACAGAGTGAAATAAAACGGAATGAAACACAGCGGAATAGAAATATAGATATTGTTATATTGTTTGAATGTTTTATGACAGAATATAGAGAATTTGTCATTCCACCTAAAGTAAAGATTTACTTATTTTTTAACAAAATTAAGAATTCATCTCACTTAAGTACAAACTGCTGATAACAATTTGTGAATCATACTCAAATAACACATAAAGTGATAAACAGCTCTCATCTCCACAATAGACAATTCAAAATACTAGATGTATTCAATCTCATATTAGACCATACAAAACAAGAAAAACTTAGTCATATCACTCATAAGCTTGAATAAGTTTAATCATATCTGCTTCTTTTTTCGACGGGGCACACATTGTGATCCCTGAGAAAAAGACGAGACTTAGTTTAATCACCAATAGAGATGAGAATAGGTTAAGTCGATTTAACATTAATGTTGAATGAGGAGGGAGTTGACCTACATATAATACTTTGTAAAATCTTATTGATTATTATGATTGTTTAAATTTTTAATTCATATTAATTATTTGGAATCAATTATTTTATAATAAATCAATTTTTTTAATGTAATTTTATTTTCACTAAAATTCATCATTTTTTGGATCTATAATAGAGATTTGATTCATTTGATTTGGACACACCAAAAAAATCTATTTTTTCTCTCTATATTTTTTTATTTAACCTTCAATAGACTCTTGTTTTATCCACTTTTATTTATTTTAATAATGAATATTCCTATAAAATTAAAAAACAATTTAAATAAATTAAGAATATAAAATTAAAAAAATTCAAATAAATTATTAAATTAAAAAAATAATTAAAATAAATTATTTAACTCTTAATTATTTTAATTTTATTTCTATCGATAATTGATATTAATATAAAATCATAAAAACAAAAATATAAAATAAAAATATGAAATAAAAGTGGTGGGATAAAGTGTTGAATTTTATTAAACAAAATTATTGTAGTGAATAAAAGTTGAATGTGTGTTGAATTATTAGGTAGAAGAAAGAGAAGATGATATGTAGTATAAAAAATGAAAAAGAAGGATGTTGAATATGTAAATCATTATACATAGTCTTATGATCTAGCTTATTTGAGGTCAGGCCAGACCAGACTTATTTACTAAAAAGTTTTGACTTAAACTTTTTTAAAAGCCTATTTAATTAAATAGGCTGGATTTAGACTATTAAAAAATCTTATTATATATATATATATATATATATATATATATATATATATATATATATATATATATATATATATATATATATATATATATATATATATATATATATATATATATATATATATATATATATATATATATATATATATATATATATATATATATATATATATATATATATATATATATATGTTGTGAATTCAATGCCAATAACAAAGTATAGTATTTGGGAAGAATAAAGAACAAGGAAGAAGAAGAACACAAGAATTGGTTATAACTGCTATTCTTTACTTTCTCTTTGAAAACAAGATTACAAGTTTACAAGGATAACAAATAACCCTCTCACCCTAATTAGGATTTGCTGTGTGTTGGCAATGATGAGAGACTAGTATGCTATTTATAATAAAACCTAACATACTAACTAATGGGCTTTTTCCACAAGGCCCATTATACAAGCTAACTTAACAAACAAGCTAACTTAACAAATTAGAGTTTAAACACTAAAACCTAATTCGACAAGCATCCTTCGACAAATACATGCTAGAACCTTCTTCGACTACAGCAAGTACTTCGACCAACTAGAGTTCGATCCAAAATCCCACAAATCTCCACCTTGGACCTAACTCTACAGCATCAAGAGACACTAACTAGCTTTCTTCATGCAGCTTTATCAACTGCATACAGTGGAAAAACTTGCAACTTGGCAATGTTTTGGTGATCATATCAGCAGCATTGTGATCTGTCGAGACCTTCAGCACTTGGACTTCTCCACGCTCGATTACCCCTCTGACGAAATGCAGCCTCACATCTATGTGCTTGGTTCGCTCATGATAGGCTGAGTTCTTCGACAGGTGTATTGCACTTTGACTATCACATTTAACAGTGATACCTTGACCTTGAAGTTTCAGCTCCTTTGCAAAACCTTCAAGCCACAATGCTTCTTTCACAGCTTCAGTTAGGGCAATATATTCTGCTTCAGTAGTTGATAAGGCAACAACCTTCTGAAGAGTTGCTTTCCAACTAATTGCTGTACCAAACATAGTGAAAACATATCCAGAAATAGATTTTCTGGAATCCATACAACCTGCATAATCGGAGTCAACATAGCCTTCGACTGCTGCTTTACTATCTTCACCCAAGGCTCCACCATAAATTAAGACTCTGTTCAGAGACCCATTTATGTACCTTAAAATCCACTTTAACGCTTGCCAGTGAGCCTTTCCAGGATTCGCCATGTACCTGCTTACAAGACTTACTGCATATGCTATATCGGGTCTAGTACAGACCATAGCATACATCAAAGAACCAACTATATTAGCATATGGGATGCTGTTCATATAGGTTCTTTCGACATCAGTACTGGGACATTGATCAATGCTCAGCTTGAATTGAGGGTTTGTTGGAGTCACAACAGGCTTTGAATTCGACATACCAAACTTGTCAAGAATCTTTCGTAGGTATGCCTCTTGAGATAAGCATAATTTCGACTGCTTTCTATCTCTTCGAATGTCAATTCCAAGAATCCTAGATGCAGCTCCCAGATCCTTCATGTCGAACTCCTTATTGAGTTCAGCCTTCACCCTCATTACATCTTCGACATTGTTGCTTGCTATCAGAATATCATCAACATAAAGCAACAAAATAACAAATGAATTTTCAGGTCGAAATCTGGAGTAAACACAATGGTCGAACTGACTTCGAATGAAACCTATGTGTTCCATGAACTTGTCGAATCTCTTATTCCACTGTCGAGGAGATTGTTTAAGTCCATATAAAGATTTCTTCAGTTTGCACACATAATCTTCTTTCCCCTTTTCGACATACCCTTCAGGTTGCCTCATCAGGATTGTTTCGTCTAAGTCACCATACAAGAACGCAGTCTTCACATCCATTTGTTCCAGTTCAAGGTCGAACTGAGCCACCATGGCAAGCAACATTCGAATGGATCTGTGCTTCACAACAGGGGAAAATACATCATTGAAGTCGACACCTTCTTTCTGAGTGAAACCCCTTGCGACTAATCTTGCCTTGTACCTCTTCGACATTACTCCTTCAATTCCTTCCTTAACTTTGAAAATCCACTTACAGCTGACTAACCTTGCCCCAACAGGTTTCTTGATTAGTTCCCAAGTGTGATTATCATGAAGAGATTTCATCTCATCATGCATGGCCTTTAGCCATTCAGTCTTCATTCGACTCCTCATAACTTCCTTATAATCTCTAGATTCTTCGTCTAGAACTTCACTTGCAGAGATTAAGGCATAAGCTACAAGATCTGCATATCCAAGTCTCTGAGGTGGTTTTATGACTCTTCTTTGCCTATCTCTCGACAATAGGTAGTCATCAACAGTTTCCTCAACATCATCAGAATATTCTGTTTCTTCTTCGACTTCATCTGGGATACGCATTTCAGCATCAACATGCTCCACCTCAACAGGAATCTCTACCTGTTCCAGCTCTTCGTCAACATCATCAGTTTTCTTGAAAGCCATTTCCGTTTCATTGAAAACTACATCTCGACTGGTGATACACCTCCTGTGACCTGGCTCTAGGCACCATAGCTTATAAGCTTTCACTCCTTCAGGGTATCCCATAAACATGCATTTCAGAGCTCTAGGTTCGACCTTGTCTTGCCTAATGTGAGCATAGGCTACACAGCCAAATACTCTTAGTTTGTCGAGATCTGGTGGATGTCCCGACCAAACTTCTTCAGGTGTCTTCATATCTAACGCTGTCGAAGGACATCTGTTTATCAGATATGCTGCTGTCGAAACAGCCTCAGCCCAAAACACCTTCTTTAATCCCGCACTAGTCAACATGCATCTAACTCTCTCCAAAATAGTTCGATTAAACCTTTCAGCCAAACCATTTTGTTGAGGAGTACCTGCGGTAGTTCTGTGCCTTGCAATACCAGAGGCAACACAAAAACTGTCGAACGCCTCATTGCAAAACTCAAGGCCATTGTCGGTTCTCAACCTCTTTACCTTTCTGCCAGTTTGATTTTCGACAAGAGTCTTCCAACTTTTGAAATTCTCAAAAGTTTCATCCTTAGTCTTCTGGATGAATACCCATAACTTTCTGGAATAGTCATCTACTATGGATAGAAAATACTTTGCTCCTGAATGTGATGGACACCTTGCAGGCCCCCAAAGATCAGCATGGATGTAATCAAGGGATCCATGTGTTCTTTGTTTGCCTTTGTTGAACTTCATTCTACAGGACTTTCCAAGT